AAGCTTCCTTCATTTAGCCTCACTATTCTGCAATATAAGCACTGCTGCCTAATAACCTCTGAAATTCCACTTAAAGTCAATAATTAAACTTTAGCAAATAATAAATATGTGAACCGCAGCAACATTTAACACAGATGTCAAAACAGTTGACCTTCTCCAAGTCATAAGCTGTTGTTTTCCATTTGAAGAAAGAAAATAAGACTGTATCCAGATGCTGCTCCAGTTGCTGACTCTGTACTGAATTGGCAATAGTTATGATCTGTGGATCATAATCTGTATGTGATAAAATAAACCTGCAAGCCTTTAAGATGCCACACAACTCTCTACATGAATAGGTTAAAGAAATAATTAGACAGCTAGATAAATTTGAAGTTTATAGATTCTGATTACAGGAAACCTGAAAGAGTTTTAAGGAAAGTATTTTTCTTTTATGTAACATATTTCCTCTATATCCGCTTAAAAGTCATCTTGAATTATTTCCTTCATGGACTGAATGCATAGCCAATAGTTTTAAAGTGCTAAGATTGTAGAGATGTTCTCCATGGTAGCCCCCACTTTCAAGTGTACCCTTCCCCAGCAGCTCCTATTGTTAGCATTTCGTAAAAAGTAACATATGTATTATTTCAACAAGCCTTTGGCCCCAGTTGATTTAACTGTGGGTGTCTATCATAGTTATCTTGATTAGAGGATTTTTATTATGTTGGTTTATAATTTTGTTCTTCATTATTGCACACCACCTAGAGTCCTTCAGGATTGGGATATGTTATAAATACTGATAAATAATTAAAGAAATAATCCCCAACACCAATGTTCCTATCAGTTGTTATTTTAAAAGAAAAACAAACAAGGAAGTTGGAAAATAATACCATATGTTTGTCATTCATCTGTAGTTTGTCATTCCTCTTTGTAATGTCCACTTACTGTATTAAAAAGTGACTGGCTCCAAGGCCAGACAATGAAATGTGGGTTTTGATGAAGTGTGTGCAATGAAATGTGTGTTGCAATGTAAACTCTACCTTTTTTGTAAGTGTGTCATGATGGTGCATGTACTAACTGGTGGAGGGTTGCATCACACAATGCATGTTTCATTATTCTGATAAACTCTCCAGACTATAGACACCTGTGCTGGTTCCTGCATAGGAAATGCCATACAGAGGGGGGGGAAATCCTGATAACAAAATCAATGGACTTGAGGCTGTTTAGGGAAGAAGGACTCAGTAAGATAAAGTAACTACTTTTCCATGTGGCTTTGTATGTGGCGATGAAATTGGTCTTGGAAGACTAGAGAGCATTTTTCTTTAGAGCAAATATCTCTTGTACGGTTCTAAATAATTTAAATCAAATTATAGTAGATTATTCATGGCAATATTCTCGTGGTGAAAATTACAGGAACTTTGAGTTCCTCCTCAAACCTCTGGTCTTTTTACTATTAAAATATGAATATGTTAGAATTTCCTAAGATCATATGGATGGAACTTTCCAGGGGATGTTCACTCCATCCTCCTTCTGCTAGTGTTCTGAAGACAGTTTACGGTTCTGAAATTAGAATTTCAGAGATTTTTTGAGCCTGTGTTCGCCTTCTGGCTATTTTGTGAAATTTTTCAATGGCTTCTTCTATTCACTGCTATTTTATTTGTTTTATCTGTACTAATTTTATATAGTGGGTTGATCTGCTGAGATTTTCAGACTTTGTCTCATAGTTGATCTTCAAGTATCAAAAGCCTACTGTGATGTATTTGCAAAGAATTTAAAAGAAATAGGTCTTCTCTAACAGATGTTAGTTTCATCAGTTCAGTCATTCTGTGGTCTGCTGTGCGTGTAGAATTATGAGCTTCTGAAGCCAGAAGCAAGTGATAAGTCATCGTGCTCCTCCCTATCCCTCAGCACTGGCTTTCCCATGAAAATCCTGACTTATTTTAAATCAGAGTTCTCTTTATGTTCCAAACAGGGAACTCTTGCTGAAACCCAGTTTATAACTATCTTTCTACCCATGGGGCTCTCAAGATGGTTAACAATCTGAAATAAAATATTAACAATTTTTAAAAATCAGTGGAAACAACTCAAATATTATTATGCCAACTCTAGAAATCTGGCTGAATCACAAATGGAAAGAGTGGGGACTAAGCTTCTGTGGGTGTACCTTCCATAGCTTTCAGCTGACGATTCTTCAAGCACCACATTTTCTGGGAAAAATAAAAAAAATAAGATACTAAATATAAGAACAAAAAGGGAGGAGACCTCATTATGACTTATAATCCAAAAGTGACATAAAAGCTGATTTGGTTTGTGTACTGAGCCAGTTACTCCAGAGAATGATTTATAGTACTCAAAACACATTGGACAAGTATTATCTTTCGTGCATTTTTGAGAGTTCTTCAGATGGGTAATGAATAAAAATAGAGACTAAAAATTGGTCACTTGGGTTTGGAACACCTTCATGATGAATATATTTCTGGCTCTTAGAAACAGCCAGATAAGATCAGTTTTGTTTGTCCATGACCTTTTATTGTGTTGTGTTATGTTGTTTTAATTGCCTTACTGTTTTATTGGTTTAGGGTTACTAATTCTGCATTTAAATAGTCTTGCTATAATAAGAACTTCAACAGTTTTAACTTACTTTATAATTTAACATTTTGTTTTATTTTAAATACTTTTAGATGGTTAGCCACCTGTTGGCTAAAAGAATGGGATGTAAATATTGGTGTGTTTTTTTTCTGTTTTTTTTAAAGCGAGCAAGATATATAGTTCAACATGAGGTCTGATGTAGACAAATCTTCGTATCTCCTTACAGTCCTAGGTGACTGATTCTGTTTTTTCAGCTGGCCAAAGTTCATGAGAAGTTGTTCACTTTGGAGACACATGGCATTGCTCCAAGATCTGAACCATCAGTGTTGTGTTGTGGGATAGCAGCAGGGGAGAAAAGAGAGGCAAGACAAATGAAACTCTAAATATCTTTCCAATTTATTTCTCAAGAAGTGAAATTTCATCTGAACCAGTGGGAGAATGTGTGGTATTGAATTTGTCAGCCCATGAGGCTGATTCAGTTTGTTGTCCCAGACATTCCTTGCTGTTGCTATGCAGAGTGTGAGTTTTACTTCATTTGACACTTCCTGATTTCCTGGCTTGGCCTGGTATCTTAAAGAGGAAAGGAGAAAGAAAGAAAAAGTGAGCTACAGCCTCATTCTATGCATGAACCTGATTGAGTTTCATGGGGCTTGCTTCTAAATACAACCAAGATTGTACCCTTGAGGTAGTAAATATTTCTCCAAACTGCCACTACTGAAGTATTACTGAAGTACTGTTGACAGCCCCATTAGGTAGACCAGACCAGAAAATACCTCCATAGGAAAAAGCTCTATAGGAAGACCAGAACTACACTTTGAGATTGGCTATAATAGCAGAATCTTGCAAGTCTGATTGTGCTGTACCTGCTCCTCCTTCCTATACTCCTCTGAATCAGTTTGCCTGAGCTACTTCTGAATATTATGTTGTTTCCCAGGACTTAAAGAATGTTTCAGCCCCCTTTGCCTAGGTAACAGTTCTTGTATATTTCTGTCAAAGTTACCTCCCCTACTCTCTATACTGATCAACTTCTTTTTGCGTATTTGTTTAATGTGAGCTCTTCTGGCATCTGGGGTAAGCTGTCCTAAAGGCGGGAAGCAGTCGCCAAGAAAGCCTGCTTCTGTGCCTCTTCCGGTAGTACCTCCTGACAGGAGGAGATCTTTGGCAGGCACTGTCTCTTCGCTCACACAGCAGGTGGGCGGAATTTACTTAAGATGGGCAGTCTCTAAGATAGCCAGCACCCAAGCTATATGGAGTTTTATAGGTGATAACCAGCACCTTGAATTGCACTCAGAAACAAACTGGGAGCCAATGCAGCTCCTGTAGCCATGGTGTTCTATGACAATACTGCGGTTGTGCAGTGAGCACCTGGGCTGCCATATTCTGCACCAGCTGAAGTTTTCAGCTGGTCTTCAAGAGCATCTTCACATAGAGTGAATTCCAATCAAGAGTGATTGTCCTGGCACATTGCTGAGTATGGTCAGATTTGCCAGTAATTAGACTGTTATTACTGGAAATGGACTTTCCCTTGTCTCTGGGTTCACAGCAAGTATGACGGTAATGAACTATTGTTTTGGAGGTGGTAAGAGTTCATGTAGAGTTTACCTGGCATTCTCTTTTCTAAACAACCTAGTAAAAAGCTTCATTTTAGTGGTCATATTAAATTTCAGTACTGTTCTAACAAACTTCATGATATCAGCTTAATAATATTGGAGTTCCTGCAGAGGAGCTAAAATCTAACATGATTTCTTGAACTTTCAGGCCTTTTGTTCTCAGTTTTAGTTTTCAGTACCATTTAGTTGGTATAAGGGGTTAGGGTTAGGTTCGTATTAAGAGGGAAGAATTTTTCTTTCAATCCAGCTACTAAAGGAATGATAGTTAATACCGAGTCTGACAGCTGAATAGACCCAGTGTCTATTCTGGCGTTCCCATTACATGATTTTTTTCCCCACTGCAGTCATGATTTCATTTAGTAATATGCAACTTGTCCTTGGCCTGCCAGGAATAACACATCGCATTTGTGAACTTTATCTTTAAGAGCCTTAAAACTTTGAACTGAGTGTTATTGACTTGCCTTGTTGAACCAATTGTCACCCTACCTTCAGATATCAGTCACATTTATCAAGTTTATTTGTAGAGGATCTAGAGGGGTTTTTTTCCCTTCACATAAAAGAAATTATGACAAAAGAAAACATTGAAGGTTGTCTTTAATATAACTACTTCTATCCATTTTCTGCTATATTATTTTTATTAAACAAAATTGTAGTAACACTATATTTCAGTGGCTGGTCTCGATCCATCAAAATGATAGGGTGTGTCTATTTCTGTGGAGAGGATATTAGGTTTAGATTAAGTACTTGACCTCTACACCAGAAAAATAAATACCAAACCATAACTATGTATGTTATACTAATGATGACGTTTGTTGTAATTTGTAGGTATGCTATTCTGTGTGGTCAGTATGCAGAACATGACAGCATACAAAAGCGCATTCAAGCAGGGCATGCCTTTAAGGTAAGTAGGACTGTGTTTAAGTAGCTTCCATCTGTTCTCTCTGTGTATAGGACTAGGAGGAATTTTAAAAGCTTAACTGGGCATGCAAGGGAAAATGCCTTCCTTCCTTTTTTATAGTAGTTTTATTAAAGATTATAATTACAACAGTAAAAAGTAATACAAACTGAAAAAATAGAAGAATAAAAAGAAAAAGTAGAAGGTCCAGAAAAGAAAGAAAAAAAAGGAAAAATAAAAAGAGAAATAGAAAAGAAAGAAAAAATAAGAATATAGTAAAGAAAAAGAAAAGAAATTTATAAAGAAGTGACTTCCCACCTTCATCACAAGTATAAACAATTTTAGTAACTTATCACCTACTCTTAAAATACAACAAATTATCTCTTCTTTCTGTATCCCATTTCTTATCTATAAACAAATCCATAAACCATTGTCATTTCAATCCTGATGTCAGCAAAAGTCCATTAAGAGTTACCAGAGATAACAACATATCTATTTTAACCTTGATCAAATAAACCAACTTTATATTCCTTCCTTTTACTTCTAACAATCTTAATGTTTAGTTGCTTCAAATAATGTTGTAGAACTTGATTTCTTTTCATTTTTTCTTTGTTCCTTCTCACAAAATCCTTCAAAACTTTAACAAGCCTCTTTGGTAAATCCAGTATAGGAAAATTATCCAGGTGACTCTCTTGGTTTGTTGTTTGTATATCCCTTTTAATTATTAAGACATCAGCCGATTTCTTTTGTATGTCCAGTGTAACATCTTTTTCCATGTCATTCTTACAGCCTGTCATTATTAAATCTACTTTCAACTCAGTCTCGATCTTGTCAGGTAGAATTTGTTCCTCTTCCATAACATCTTTTAGACACAGTCTGTCTATAGAGGCAGAGACTCTTAAAATTAACTTTTGAGTCCATTGTTCAAAAATGACCTTCAGTATGTCCAATGTTAAAATATTTTGCTTCATTCTGTAATTGTAAGTCGAGTTTTAGTGTTCTTCTTTAATTGTAATCTTTAGTTCCCTCTAGTTCCCTCTAGTGTCCAATTTTTAAAAACGTATGCTTTTTTTTTTTAGTAATAATTCAAAACAAAAGCATTTTCCCATGGAAGGATTCTTTATATTTAATTCCAAATTTTTATTTCAAATTTATCTGGACCCTTAGTCGATTTGTAACTTTCTAAAATTAAAGTTTTAAGCATCCTTTTGCTGTTTATTCAATTTTTTTTTAAATTCTTGAACTTGTAGTTAAAACTTCTTTCGCTAAGGATTGAAGGAAACTCACCTAGTGCTGTAAAACTTGTTGATCCAAAAGTTCCTAATAGCTGAAAAGCCATTTACAAGCAATTTCTGAAAGCGATTAGAAAAGGAAGTATGCAAACTTAGTGTCCTTTCAAAGGTGCTGATCGCGTTTGAGCAAGATGGCTATACCCTTGTCTCCTAGAGCTCTAAACCCACTGGACACTGCTATCTTACAGTCTCTTTGCGAAGAGCAGCTGTCTGGAGCACTGCTTGTCTAAAGAGGAATTATCAAAGAGCCGGGCTACTCACCAGCTCTTCATTCCGCTGCAGCCATCAGGTCCACTTTTCATAGAGCCATCTTCAGTCCGTCATTTCTTTCCCGGAAGTCTGAAAATGCCTTCCTTCCTCTAAGAGTTTATAAGATACAAGTTAAGGCAATTGATAAGAGTGTTTGTATTTCATTCATCTTTCAGTGTAGACTAAAATTACCAAGCGCTGTATTACTATGTTTGCTGGATCAGTTGCTTTAATTTAAATAATTACTCCTGCATGAAATTCTTGAGCACTTGTATTGAACTGCAGCCTTCTGAATGTTACTTGCTAATTAAATGCAAATTAAACAACTCTTATGCCTGTGCATTTTTTTTTTTTAGAAACATATAGATGAAGCCATTGCTCTGAAACCAGATGATCCCAAATCTTATTATCTCCTAGGCCGATGGTGTTACCAGGTAGATAATTTTCATCATTATGTTTTTTTGAAATCCATAAAAGCATAATAAATAATTTTGCCTATGTGCAGGAAATAAAACAAACCTGTTGAATGCCTTAGGGAATTTTTGTTTTTAATTGTCTGGAATTGGTAATGCGATTGTTAGCTACTGATAGAATTGTCACGAAAGTGCTCAGCTTCGTTGACTGATTCAATGACTTGAATTTGCCATGGGTAGATTTGCATTGATAGTGTGTTTGATGTCATAAAATATGCAACATAGTTTTAGCATATAAAGGAAAAACTGTCATGTAGTGCCTTTCTTTTTACCCTGTATTTTGTAATTGGCCATGTCGTGCGACACTGAAGTGATGCAACATAACCAACAGTTTAAGAAAAGTTAAACTGTAGCCTTTGCAATTTAGCCTCTTCATGATGCTAACATGTTAACACAGACTTATCTCATAATCTGTCAACATTCAGCGTTCCAAAAACATCTAAGCCACTTAAACATTTTAAGTAGAATCTAATTGTTGACAAAACATGTTTCCCTCAATAATGATGGATGATAAGTTTAAAAATTGCTGACTTATTAAAAGCAATTTGTAAAATGCATATTCTGGAACAAAGCACAAATCTACATAAATGTAAGTAAAATATAGTTATTAGGTAATAAACGTATTACCCAAATTGTCTCATATAGTACTAATTTTGCAAATAGTTAGATGAAAGTCAGATATGTCAGATGACTGTTGAGAGATATAATGAAATGGCCTATTCCTCCTGATTGCTGTTTTCAACCAATATTTATTTTATATGAATTGTAAGCATGGTATAGTACAATATTTGTATTATAAGTCAGTGTTGAAACTGATGGAGGCCTTAAGCAGTTACCTCAAATATACATTTTAGTAACTGTTATTTGTAATGTTTAAGAAATCTTTTTAAAAGTTTAAGAACGTGTTTGTGAAATTTGAAATAGAATTGTTTTTTGCTTCTGTGGTTGGTTGTGTATTACTTTTTATTCCTATGTATTATGTGCGCATTCTGAATTAGCAGTGTTTCTTCATGATTGATTACTTGTTTTCCTCTTTCTTTTTTGTTAATTAAATGCAAAAAGAGCAAAACAATATTTGTTGAAAGCAAATCTTTCAAGCTATAAGAAATCCAAAATCCTAGTTTTCAGTTTCAAGTTTCTGTGTGTTGGTCATTGTGGGATGGGGATGTTAAGAAATTAAAAAAAAAAAAACTGTTTGTGGCCTTACACTTTCACTTTTCTCATGCTTTTGCTCCATTAAAACAATCACCTCCTGTCTTTTGAGGACATGTGGATATGATTATAGATTTTATGGAGCACTCCAGGGTTCTTGCATAGAGTATATTTGTAAAATCCTTTACATGTGTTTTTCTTCTGTCCTTTTATTGCAAACTGTGGCAGCTATTATATAAAAGCATATCATCTGCTTTGTATTGTTCAGAGAAGTCAGAAATGGTCATTCTCAGTCCTGAACATGCTTATAAAAAGCAAACATTTTGGTATGACTTTAACTTTGATTAAAAGGAAGTATCCTCCATAAGGCTTGTTGTGGGAAGATTATGTTGTGGTTTGCTCCAATGCACTGTGCAAAAATCTCCCCTCTTCCTTTGTGGAAGAGTCAAACTTGCTTATAATTTGGTTTGTCAATGTTGGATTACAAAACAGAATATCAGGTAGAGTATTATAAACATATATTGTCTACACAGTTGCTGTATAATATGGTAGAGAAGGAAGAGTGGTCTTCACCTCACTGATATTTAATCTCTTGAACAAAGGAATGTTAGTGGGTGGAGGTACTAGGCTAATCCATTCTTACACAGGTGGCAATTCTCATTGATTGTTGAGACATAGATATCTACTTTGGTGCACTTAAAAAAATACATGACATGGATATTTCAAAGTTTGTTAAGTGTGCAAGCAAGCGCACCTCCAAACACACTTGCCACCACCTTTAGATTTTTTTTAGGGTAAAAAACATGCAAATCATGTTCCTTGATCTCCATGTGGAACTTCTTCATTTACATATTTGGTAACAACTAGGCATGTCCCTGTGCTGTGCACAGAGGATGCTGGCTAGATAAAAGTGAACCGGGTTGCTTGCCAAGTTTTATGAAGTTTGTTTAATTGTTTGTCTGCAGGTTGCACATTTGGGATGGCTGGAAAGGAAAACTGCTTCTGCTTTATATGAAGAACCTCCCATAGCCACTGTCCAAGATGCACTGCAAAACTTCTTAAAGGTATTCAGACTGTGTAAAACACTAAACTAATTAGTTGCAATAGTCTTGCAAAAACCGTGAGTAGAAGTTACTGGAATTGGCCATTCTCATTATATGCCAATGACAGCATCAAGCATGTGTGAACAAAGATAAGGTAAGGTATGATATTGTGCTCTGTGCATAAATAACTTGGTTCAGATGTACCTTTGCATAACTTCAACTCCAGATATTTCACATTATGACCTATTAATCAATTGAAATATTTTGTTCTAGTACTCAGTAAGATGTAATGAAAGGTTTAAAAAAGTCAACTCTTATAATGTTTGTTCTGTACTTTATTTTTTACTTTTAAGGAACACACTAATTCAGTCAAAGCTCTTAAATTGTAGGTGTTGTAGATAATTTAGATGATGTTGTGGATTAGTTATAATTCTGTAGAAATGGGTGATTTCTATATTTTATCTAGATCTTAATTCTTTCTTTTTTAATAACATTGCCAAAAATGTAGCTGACTCTATAATTTGCTGCATTGGTTGCTGTATCACTCCCTATTTACTTTCAAACATCTCTGGAGTTTTATATATGCTATATATTTTTTCTATATAGTTCTGTATCTTTTACTTACAAGGGCCTCTCAAAGTTATTGCTTTTGTTCTTATCTGTGTTTCTTTTTCTTTTCTGTTCTCTATTGCATGAAATGTTTTTCTGGCTGATCTTTTTACATTCCTGTGCTTCCCTATGCTCATTTCTTAGAACCCTTTATTTTCCTAAGCTTCCCTTCATCTTTTCCTTTTCTTTTCTTTCTAACATGTTTTGTCTGAGTATTTAAGTTATATATTATAGACATGGCCCAGAGGACCATAATTTTTGTACAGTGTTTGGCAGTGTTAGCCTGTTGATACTTGTACACATTTAAATTAATTTAATTTGCCACGCAAGTAGTACGTAGCAAACATTATTTCTTTTTTTTTAATAATTTTTATTGAAAATGTTGATTATAATAGTAAAAACAAATACAAACTAAACTCAGAGAGAAAAAGAGAAAGAAAGAATAAAAGGTGCAAGGAAAGAAAAGGAAAAAAAGAAAAAGGAGAAAGTAAGAGGGAGAGAGAGATGACTTCTAGTCTTCATCACAAGAAGAATACACAAATAACTCTTCTTCCCATAACCTATACAGTACCACATGCAATCTATAAATCATCAATTTTCAGTCCTGGTGTCAACAAAAAGTCTGTAAAGGGTTACCAGAGCTTTATAGAAACATGTCTTATTTTAACCTTGGTCAAACAAAACAACTTTATATTCCTTCCTTCTAACAATCTTCATCTTTAATTCATTCAGATGTTGTCATAGGATTTGATCTCTCTTCAATTTTTCTTTTTCCCACCCCAAAAGCTTCTTCAAAGCTTTAGCAAACCTCTTTTGTAAATCCAATAAGAAGTCCTTATCCAGATCATTCTCTTGGTTTATCATTTGTATTTCCACTGTAGTTGCCTTCTCTGTCTTATAATCCACACTTCTTTTTTATTTTCCAGTATTTCTAGTTCTAACATTTTTATATCAGACAACATTTGTTTCACCTCATTAGCCTGTAAATCTGTCAAAATATTCTTTTCACGTCTGTTATTCCTTAGTTAATATCGTTTGGACATAGTCTATCCATGGAAGCAGACATGACTGCTGACATTGTAGCTGCTAGTTTCTGACCCCATTCTTCAAAAATCTCCTGGAGTATTTCAAATGTCATAATGTTTTGTGTCATTTTGTAAATTCTAGTACTAACCAAAAACAAACAGCAAGATTTTGCTTTTTTTTCCCTTTTCCTTTTCTGCCTGGAAACTTTAGTCCCTCTAGTGTCCAGTTTCTGAAATCATAAAGTCTCGAATTTCTGTTATGATTTAGGTTTAGTTCTCAGAAAAGACTGTTTATTTTTTAATCATTACCAAAATCTTATAGTAAAAGTCCTAATATTCCAAGTTTGTCTGGTCCCTTATACATTTATAACTTTCTTGAATCAAAATCTTAGAGTTTTTTGCCATTTATTTCCAATTCTTTACATTCTTAGGCTTATAGTTAATTTTTCTTTTATTCAAGAATGAAAGTAAACTCACTAGGTGGCTTTTTAAACTTGTTGTTTTGAAGATCTCTATTAGTCTTAAGATAGTTAAATAAGTAATTTCCAAAAGTTAGAAAGAGAAGTTAGCGAACCCAGTGTCCTTTAAAAGGCTCTGATACAGTTGTGAGCACGATGGCTAATCCCTTTGTCTTCCGGCACTCAAACTCCTGTGGTCTCTTTGCAAAGAGCAGCCATCTGGCGCACATGTGGGTAATCTTCCATCCTCTCCTTATCCGGAGAGGTTCCATGGGACTGTCCTATTCGCTGGTTCTTCGGTCTTTGCCACAGTCATCGTCTCCACTTATTCGGAGACATGCTAGTTTGCCATTCCACCTCCGGAAGTCCATAGCAAATGCTATTTCTGTGTACATCAGCTGGTACGTTGCTCACTGATGTTTCTTTAATTATATGGTTTTTCCAGATAAAATTTGGTGGCACTTCAAAGTTTGTATGACACAAATGCAAAACTTACAAGATCTTTCTTTTCTGCTACAACAGACCTACATGAATTCCACTCCTGAAATATGTGCTGTACTATTCAAGTTAGGTGTAATATATAGGGAAAGGGAATCAAATCATAAGAGATGTATATTGAAAGTACTGAAAGCCTAACATCTTTTAAGTGATGATTTTGCCTCCCTTTATATTCTTTTTGCCTGTCTTATAGGCTGAAGACGTAAGCTCTGGTTTTTCAAAAGTGGGAAGAATATATATTGCCAAGGTAGGTTTGCTTGGCTACTGTTGCTCTAGTAATGTGTGTTGATGTACATTCACTTTAAGTGCCTCAAAAAGCCTTCTACTCAAGAAACTTGCATCACTCAGGATTATCGGTAAGCCATTGGTTCATTATTCACACTATTTCTGACTGTGTAACATCATAGGTAAGGTATTTTGAAATCATACTACTGAATATCTGTTTAAGCGGACCTGTTAAAAATTAAACTTGAAACTTATTTTATGCAAACTTTGTTCCAGTGGTGTTCAGCTGTTATTCCCATAGCATGAAAGATAACTATCAAATGCAAATTGCTTAAATACTTACTACAGGTATTCCTCGCTTAATGACTACCCTGTTTAGTGGCCAGGGCACTGTTACAACTAGGCACTGAAAAAGTAACTTTATGACCGGTCCTCACACTTACTACTGTCGCAGCATCCCCACAGTCACATGATTGAGATTCGGGTGTTTTGAAACCAGTGGACATTTACGACTGTCGCAGCATCCCATGGTCACATGATCTCCATTTCTGTATTTCACAGCCGGCTTCCGACAAGCAGAGTCAATGGAGAAGCTGGCAGTAAAATGGCAAGTCACAGTTACACAATGTCTTCCTTAAAGACCGCAGGGAATTCGCTTAATGACCGTGGGGGAAGTGAGGTTGTAAGTGTGTCGCAGTCACGTGATGTGTCGTTCAATGACTATGTTGCATAGCAACAGAGTTGCCAGTTCCAATTGTGGTCATTAAGTGAGGACTACCTGTACAAGTAGCTAAATATTCAGGGGAATAACTGGGGATTTGAGAAATATTCTTGAGTGCACAAATGGAGCAATCATTTTGCAAGTGTTAAAATTCTTGCATTGAAAGATTCCCTAGACATCCAGTCTGAGTTTACACAAATGAAAGCCAAATAGCTTATGCCAAACCAAGCAGAGGAGGATCCAGGAAAGTATGAGAGAATATCTTCCATACCATGGGAATAACAGCTCCCTGTAAAATCATTCTGCCCTCAAATCCTAATCAGTACAATTTTCATTGCAGCAATGTACATTTTCTGCAATAACTATTATATAGTACAAATTGAATACAGTTTCTATTTTTTTTTTCATTTTAAAAATACTATCTTTTAGATATTGAAAAAAAATCAACGTATAAAAAAGCCTTCACACTTTAACTCTTTGCAAAGTCATATTTTGAGTTGCTTACGCTCCAAGCTTGAATTAGCATCATCTTTAATTTGAATCAGAAGGACTACAACAATTTTTCTGTTTGTCACAATGTTTTCCTATTTTTTTTTCAAAAACTTCAGTCTATGTACATTGCAGTTATCATGTCTGCCTTTCATTTCAAGGAGGAAATTGGCTTTTAACTTCAGTAAAATGAGGAACAACTTACTGCATGTTTCATCCAATTAGCAGTACTGTATATGGTATGTTGTTTAGTCGTTAAGTCGTCTCCGACTCTTTGTGACCCCATGAACCATATTGCGCCAGGCCTTCCTGTCCTTCACTGCCTCCCTGAGTTTGCTCAGTTTCATGCTCATTGCTTCAGTGATGCTATCTAACCATCTCATCCTCTGCCGTCCTCTTCTCCTTTTGCCTTCAATCTTTCCCAGCACGTGGACATCAGGGACATTAAGATCTTTCTTGTATAGTTCTTCTGTGTATTCTTGCCACCTCTTCTTAATCTCTTCTGCTTCTGTTAGGTCCCTGCCTTTTTTGTCCTTTATCCGTGGACATCAGGGACATTAAGATCTTTCTTGTATAGTTCTTCTGTGTATTCTTGCCACCTCTTCTTAATCTCTTCTGCTTCTGTTAGGTCCCTGCCTTTTTTGTCCTTTATCCGTGGACATCAGGGACATTAAGATCTTTCTTGTATAGTTCTTCTGTGTATTCTTGCCACCTCTTCTTAATCTCTTCTGCTTCTGTTAGGTCCCTGCCTTTTTTGTCCTTTATCCGTGGACATCAGGGACATTAAGATCTTTCTTGTATAGTTCTTCTGTGTATTCTTGCCACCTCTTCTTAATCTCTTCTGCTTCTGTTAGGTCCCTGCCTTTTTTGTCCTTTATCCGTGGACATCAGGGACATTAAGATCTTTCTTGTATAGTTCTTCTGTGTATTCTTGCCACCTCTTCTTAATCTCTTCTGCTTCTGTTAGGTCCCTGCCTTTTTTGTCCTTTATCCGTGGACATCAGGGACATTAAGATCTTTCTTGTATAGTTCTTCTGTGTATTCTTGCCACCTCTTCTTAATCTCTTCTGCTTCTGTTAGGTCCCTGCCTTTTTTGTCCTTTATCCGTGGACATCAGGGACATTAAGATCTTTCTTGTATAGTTCTTCTGTGTATTCTTGCCACCTCTTCTTAATCTCTTCTGCTTCTGTTAGGTCCCTGCCTTTTTTGTCCTTTATCCGTGGACATCAGGGACATTAAGATCTTTCTTGTATAGTTCTTCTGTGTATTCTTGCCACCTCTTCTTAATCTCTTCTGCTTCTGTTAGGTCCCTGCCTTTTTTGTCCTTTATCATGCCCATCTTTGCACTAAACGTTCCTTTCATATCTCCAATTTTCTTGTAGAGATCTCTAGTCTTCCCCATTCTATTGTTTTCCTCAATTTCTTTGCATTGTTCATTTAAGAAGGCCTTCTTATCTCTCCTGGCTATTCTCTGGAAATCTGCATTCAGTTGCTTATATACCTGATATCTAAAGTGGGTTTTAATTAACATTATTCTTATGTAGAGTTAATTGGGGATAAAGCCCATTGAGCACCATGGGACTGTTGTTGTTATATCCTGCCTTTATTTGGCATAACTCAAGGCAGTATGCATAATGTTCCTGCCTCCTGTTTTTCCCACAATAATAAACCTGTGAGGTGGGTTGGGCTGAGGAAGAGTGAATATGCACACAGCTGTATTCTAGGTCCAACAGTAGAATATATATGTTTAGAACTGTATGTATCTAGTTTGTATTTTATAGCTTTTGGATGAATTATAACAAATATAATCTTTTTAGCAATGTATTATTCATCAAACTCTTCTGTAGCCATTGATGGTATAGTACAAGCAAATAGTAAATACAGTCCCAAGAGGTTTCATCAGATTGAACTCTTATTTATATTTACTTAATGGGGCATGCAAATGAGGACATCAGAATGTAAGGTCTCATAAATATCCATGCCTATTGATATGGTAACGGCAGAGATACATTCTGGGTTGCGGTAGACTATTAGTACATGTGAATTGCATCTTGAGGCAGTTTATAACGAGTCAAATATTTACAAAATTGCAGGGAGACATTACTTATTCTGAATATGGGCCTGTTTCTTGAACAGGATTCTAACCTCTTCAGTGTAGAAAAGCTTCTTCATAGAACTGAGATTACACATTTCTGAAATTGTCAGATAGAAACCTCTTGAGAACAAATCCAAATCTTAACATTTGAAGGCATAATGCTGGTCTTGTAATTCAAGTATGACTCATATATAAAACTGGAAGTTGCTTTTGATATTTTATCCTACATGTAACTTGTAGGCTACAATTCAGCAAGTCTTTCACTGCTGAAGCATCATACCAATATTCTCTTCTTAAATTTCTGTTTCTTCAGCTGAAATTTAAAATGTCTCTGTTCTATAAAATATATGATAAGTGTGTTTATCCATGCTCAGTTCAATGCAATGGGGGGCGGTATCAATCTTTATAATGCTGGGACCCCCTAAGCAATAATTTGTATGACTTCATTTACTGTTGATGTTGACTTTTTATCCCATGAATAAAGCAAGTTGTGCTCTAACATGGCTCCTGCTCTGTCTGGATAAGCTAGCTGTTGACTTACCCAGGCAGAGTGGGAGCAGGATGTGGCAGTGACCCAGCTGGGTATGTACAAGCCAGGTTTGCACACCCAAAGTTGGATGTACTGAACTTACCGCTGAGAGCCTCCTCTGCCAAGCTCCTTGGGCTTGCAGCAATGGCAGCAGCAACAGCCCATGCCTGCTGCAAGATGCAACCAGGGTCAAGCCATTTTTGCCAGGTCTTCCCTTTGTCCTCTTTCAAGGGCTCTTCCTGGACTTCTTCCTGGAAAGCACTATGGTGGGTTCTGTGCAAAGGCAGCATACCCACTCTAAACAGCACTGGGGCTGTTCTTGCACGAGAAGAATGCCTCCTGATGGGAGGCCAGCACACTAAGACTGCTGGAAATGGGCCTGCAGACTAAAGGCCAGCACCTAGTGTGATGCCTCCCCCAGGAAGAAGCCAAGGCAGCGGTGCCCTGAACAGAGGGAAGAGTAGGCAAAAGTGCCTCAATCCCAGCTATATCGCCTTGGGCAGCACACAGGAGGAGCTTAGGGCTGTTGCAGGAGCTGTTGCTACAAATGCCATCAAAGGAGAGCTTTGGTAGCTGGATCGTAATGCCTGGCCCATTCCAGTGCAACCAACACAGCAGAAACTGCCAATTGCCCCCCACCCCCACTTCGCTGCCCCAGTTTGTTTGCATTCTCTCAGGGATCTGTGATCCACTGTTTGAGAATCTCTCCAAAAAAGTATACGGATAGAGAAGTGACATGTTTCATAAAGAAAAGCTGCCCTAAAAAGGATTGAAAATTAAACTTATTTGTGGCAAACTTGGACTTGCAGCAAAAGTCAATACACTACCCTATGCTTGCTTTATTCTATTCAGTGGACTGTATCTGGAGTAAATGTACATAAGATAAAGGCCCTGGCTAGCTACTCTGTATTGCAGCATAAGCAAGAGCTCAGGAAAGCTTATGATTCTTTCACTTGCACAACTTTAATGTTTGACACAAGTAAACATGCTTCTTATTAGTTGCAAAAAAGAAAGTGTCCCATTGTTTTAATGTTCTCCTTTCCTCCTTTTACAGTGCTACAAGGAACTGGGGGATAATTCTGCAGCTGCTCATTGGTTGACTCTGGCTTCAGAGTTGCCAGTTATCACAAAAGAGGTAGTGTTTTTTATTCATATTTGAACACAGTTAAGGGTTTACAAAGCAGTCCACTGTAGTTAGAGGTGGTGAGGAAAAGAAAGAAAAGGAAGTGGTAGATAAAGTGCTATGTCCTTTGGCCTGATTGTCTCATGTCAGCGGAGGCCCCTTCCCCCCTGCACCACTTGGCTGATTTTTTTTTTTTAATTTAATTGTAGTTTTCTCTTCCCATTGCTCCCTTTGGGAGAAAAACAAAGCATGCCAGCTCCAGATCTAGCAAAGTTTTTTTCTTCTGGAAAAAGGGCATCTGGGATGCTATACACTGAAATCTTTCCCAGGAATATCTGTAGAAGGTTTCTTATTTGTCCTGAATCACTGCAGTGGACCTTCTCACTTCCACCTAAAAGGCACTGTTGGCAAAATTTCTCTGCTTGTAGACAGCCTTTCTTCATAGGTGGGGAGAGAGGGAGCCCTACAAAATCTTATAGTCCCTGGGATGGCCTTCCATGAACCATAGACTGCCTTTTCAGTTATAGCCCCCCCCCCCCCCCCTCGTTTTCTTGTTGTGTTTTTTTTTTTTTTTTTTTTTTTTT